ACTTATCGGGGGTCAGTGCGCAGGGGACGGGATCATGGTGGCCAAGAAGGGCACGATGATCCACACACCGGCGTTCTATCGTAGGTCGAGCTGGACACCCCGCACGTACAAGTCGTGGATGTCGGCGAATACCATCGCCTCCGTTGTTACCTCGATCACCTTGGGATTCGGTCGGGATGTTGGATGTGGGATGTGGGAAAGAGCCCACGGGTTGGGAAGGGAGGGTTTATGATGGTGTTACGTTGATGATTGTTTTGCTGTGTGATCATAGATGTGTGTGGTTCTTGCGATGTTGTCTAAACCGAACGATACCGGGGGGGGCTTCGCAGTCTGTAGTGCTGATGTACCTGGTTCGGCCTACATTGCCCAGAACACGCCGGGCTTCCTCGGAAAACTATTCGTTTGACACGCTTTTCTCCTTGGGTCAAGTCAACCCTGGCCGGGTTGGGTGAGGTTGCCACGCGGTCGTCATCGCCGTGTTTCAGGTCTGCTTGATGACCGTGGTGGTGCTGATCTGCCTGATGTAGGCGAATGACGCCAGCAGTTATTTCAACGACGCCTTGTTTTCGTTGCTGTTTCTGTCGCTGTTTCTGTTCCTGCTGCGTTTGATGTCGCGTTCCATCTTTCCTCGGGCAGGGGGACTCCTCGGAATTGTTTGCGGTGGACCCGCAAGGGGAAGCTGGTCCGTTGCCCGACGATGGCATGGGGGTGAGGAACAACGTTGCAGCTGCTCTTCTCGGTGTTATTGTTGCTGTTGGTGGTGAATCTGTTTTTCGTGGTTCTGTGCTGTAGTGTTTACGCATCGACCTCGCCAACCCGTTGACCAATGAAAACGCGTCTGTGTCATCGGGTGGAATTCAAGACTGGGTGCCTTCCATGCCATAGTTTGTATCTGTGCAAAACCTTTGGCGAGAGAAACATCCCCAAAGCTTCACTCCAGTCCATGTGTGCGTACGTGTTGCATCATTGCCGTCATCACTGACGTCGCTCCGGAGAAGGAGGAATGCTTTTGGAGAGGTCGACAGCAGTCGCAGCAACAAAACATCGGAAAGCACTACCCCCTTCTCTGTGTTGATTCTCACCAGCCTGAGCAATGCCTAATTTGCAGGGCGTCGCTTGTTTCGCGGTGATGTCCGGTGCACCGAGGTTCAGCGAAGTAGGTTGTGATGTTTTCAACACAAATGCCGCAAGCGTGGTTCAATACGCGTTCCTCTTGCTAGAAGCGCCAGGTGACCGTGTTACCCACCCTTTGTTCTGATCTCCCATTTGCCTTTTCTCTGTCTATCGGTTTACTTGTCTATCTGTCTGTCTGTCTGTCTGTCTGTCTGTCTGTCTGTCTGTCTGTCTGTCTGTCTGTCTGTCTGTCTGTCTGTCTGTCTGTCTGTCTTGCTGTCTGTCTGTCTGTCTGTCTGGCGGTTTCTCTCTCTCTCCCAATGTAAAGGCGGAAGGGGCGTTAGGTGTCGACGGCCAGATCCGCGATGCGGCCTCGCGCATAAGATCCGTCCTTGAGTTCGATGACCAGCAGCCGGAGGAACAGAACCCGGACGAGCGGCAGCCTGAGGAGCAGCAGACAGTCCCCGTCTCTACGCTCCTCGAGAACGCCGAGCAGCCGGAGGAGCAGCAGACAGTCTCTATCCCTCAGCTCGTGGAGACCGTCGAGCAGCCGGAGGAGCAGCAGACAGTCTCAATCCCTCAGCTCGTTGAGACCGTCGAGCAGCCGGAGGATCAGCAGACAGTCTCTATGCCTCAGCTCGTTGAGACTGTCGAGCAGCTGCAGGAGCAGCAGACAGTCCCCGTCTTTCAGCTCCTCGAGAACGTCGAGCAGCCGGAGGAGCAGCAGACAGTCTCAATCCCTCAGCTCGTTGAGACCGTCGAGCAGCCGGAGGAGCAGCAGACAGTCCCCGTGTCTCAGCTCCTCGAGAACGGCGAGAACAACACCCCCCCCGTCCCCCCATTCTTGCGGCCCTCACTCAACCAAGGGGACAGGCAAAGCACCGCCGGCAAGGCCGACTCGGGTGGTAACACCAACGCGTCCTCGAAAGCCAAGAGACACCGACTCTCCCTCGAAGGCATGGGCCACCTCCCGCTGACGGCGATCGAATCGTGCGAACAACTACGCGTCGACCGGACCACCGTTCTGGGCATCCTCACCATCGAGGGTGACATCTTGTGCGAGGAGCTGCGGGTGAGGACGGTGGTCGATCTATTGTAGTGTTCCTTTTCCCTCACGTGTTCTTCGCCCCCCCCCTCCCCCCCCTCCTCTATCCTAATCCTGCTCTCCCACTGTGTTCCCCGTTCCGTGGTTGTATCTGCACATGGCACAGAAAGTTATTGAGTCACAGCAGTACTGTGTGCATGATATCGAAATATGTTTGACAGCTCATGACCCCCAGCATCGTAATTTCATGTTTACTTTTTGCCTCAGTTTGATGTGATGACCACAACAGCAATAGCAACACCTAGAATCATTGTCCTCGGGTAACCAACACCCCGTTGTCTGATTGCCCTGTTTTTCTATTGTCTCTCCTCTTTCCGCTGCTGCCCACCGAAAACCAACACGCAGACGATCGAAGTTACCGACAAAGCTGTCATCGTGTCCAACCGGAACCCCCTCCACTTCAAGGGCGTGCACTTTCACGTGCACGAGAAGGCCACGCTGAGGTTTGCCTTCTCGACCATGCTCGCCGAGAACCTCGAGGTACGCGTGTATGTCTGCGCCTTGTCTGTCTGTGTCGGTTGGCCTGCGGTGTATGGCCGAGACGAGCACACCTTGGGAGCAGGGAGAGGGAGAGGGGTGGCAGCGACTTTCTCTCGACCTCGAAATAACGGAAGCGCGGGAGCGGCTCAAAACGTCGCGCGAACAGACATGGGTCTTGGGGCGGCAAGAAACACTGCCAAAGCAATCGCGGTTTCCTGGACAGTGGTCGCAACTCTTGGCTGTCACTCGAGCGAGCGCCTAGATGAACATAGTGTTGATTATGTTGCTGCTGCAGGTGTTCCTCTTACTGGCGGCGGCCATGGTGGCAACCATGGCGATGCCGATGTTGTTGTTGTAACATCACAGATGCTGCAACGCCTCTACTTACTTGTTTTTGGCTCTGTTGTTGTTGTTGTTGTTGTTGTTGTTGTTGTCACCGCGGTGCAGGGAGACTCGAGCGAGATCTTCACCATTGAGCCAGAAGGATATGTGGGCCTGCATCCCACTGCGTGGGGTCCGTTGTCGGAGAACGGGACGAAGGTGGGAGATGATTCTGTTGTTGTCGTTGCCGTTGTGGCTACAGCGTGGTCATTGCTTTCCTAATTACACCCGAGCGCGTAGCGGGATCAATGGAGTCAACAGGCCGCACTAGCTATAGTCTCGTACCCCCCAACCGTTCGTGTTGTCCCTTCGGCACTGGGTTCAGCAGACAGCCACCACGCCGACGCTATTTCTGATACCCGTGCACGTCGCTGGTTGATGGTCTTTGCATTTTGTCCCACAGCCTAGCCTAGGGAAGGTGCAAGTCATCCCTCGCTCGAATTGATGCCACACGGATCCTTTGCCAGATCAACCCCTCCCGCACGCCTCCGCCAATCTTGAAAGCCTACTTTATAGACGCCGAGGCCGTCTCCATTTTATCATTTTTCCTTTGCACGAAACGTCAGCTCTCTTTCAAGCCTTCATCGTTTTCAACAACGCCAACAACATCAACAGCTGAAATTATTTTCACTGGCAGCGCAACACTTTTTATTCGGCCACGAATTTTGTTTGTTTTGTACGGAGAACGATTGTTGTAATTTTTGGTTTTGGGGCAAGGAAAAGCAGGCAACAATTCTCTGCAGCTAGTCATTCTTCGAAGTTGCAAGGTGACATTCCAGCTGTCGTCGAAGTGCGTTCGATTCGGCCAAGATTTTTCTCAACTGCACAAAACCCATTGTACAGGTAGAGCGAATTAGAGTCACCCGTGTCCAAACAAAACAGAACCCCGTTGCTAATCCCTCTTGCCTTCCCCTCCCCCCCCTCTCTCTGTGTGCGGTTTCCTCTTCCCCCGCCCTGTCTTCGTCTCTCCCACGAACCAAACCACCGCCACAGAAGGATGCCCACTCGCTGGTGATTGTTAGGAAGGGTGGCGAGGTATACTTCGGGGGCGAGGTCCGCTACACGGCCTCCAGCATGAAGGTCGCCAAGACGCCCGTTGCGAAGGATCTCGTGTGGATCCAGGTCCAACGTATTCGCCGGCTGTGGCTCGAACAACAGTACCAGCAGCGGCTCCAGCGGCTCCAGCAGCTCCAGCAGCACCAGCAGCACCGGCAGCAGGAGGATGGCGACCAAGGCGCTTCCGAAGCTGCTGGTTCCCCACCCTATGGGGATGATCTGTCGCCCTTCTCCCCGGAGCGATATGCCAAGCACACCTTCGAGGAGCGGCTGAAACTGACGCCAACGTATCTCATGGTATGGCAACCAATGATGCGTTTACATGGGTGTTGAGAATGGCTTTCGGGGCTGTAGGACTTTCTGAGCTTGACCCAAGAACACAAATGCCGGAGTTGGAGTTGTCGTTCCCGAAGGACCCAAAATGAAACAGAAAGTGACAGAATCGCATTCTTGCATCCTTGCCGTTTACAGGGCCTTTTCGTCGTTGAGGTTTCAGCTGACCACCGCAATCTCCCCATTAGCATGAGGGAGGTTGCGATCAGTTGATCCTGTATGGGTTTCGACGAGGTTGCCACTTTGGGAAAGGAGCACGGTAGTATTCCAGGGTGGAGGGCTGTTTGAAGCTACAGCTATCGATCGACCTATACTTTCGTGCCGGAAGTGTACTGCTGCGGTGGCGGGAATATGAGCAAGGGCTGTTTCTGTCTCAAACACTTGTTTGTATTGTTCTCGGCATTCAAGTCTTTGTTTATCCTTGATTGTTGTGCTTTTGTTGTGCGTCCCTCCCCTCTCCCCATGTTTTACCTGTTTTTTTTTCTGGCCTTTTTGATAGCGCGACCGTTTTGTGATAAGCACCAGGGTGGTCTAGAATTCCTGCTGTCTCAGATTGTTGAGAACTACCTTGAGGATTGCGCTCTATTGCATGAACTTTTCGTTGATGTTGGCGCGTTTTTTCGGTCTTTCATCAGCCGAAATGGTAACTGCATGCTACCGCCCACGTTTGGATGTTGTGTCTGTCTCCTTGATACATACACTCGGATTGTCTGATTCTCTCTCTCTCTCGTTCTCAATCGTTGATGTTCAGGCGGGCGAGGAGCTGCGGTTCCCGTCAAGAATGACAAGCCTCGACCGCCGGCATGTGATGAACGTGGGGTCCGATGGAAGCCTCGTGCTCGCGAACATCGCACGTTACCAGGGATTGCGCCGAGAAGTGATGGAGGCGTTCGACAGCTGGAGCTCTCGAGCTCCTCATAGTTCGGTGGACATGTTGGCCGGCCTTGGCCCGGACTACAACGGCGAGGACCGAGGCTTGGACCTGAAGGTTCTTGCCTCGCCCGACGTGGTGCAGGCCATGCGCTCCCACGACGACAGGCTTACTCGCAAGAAGCAGCAGCAGCAGCAGCAGCAGCAGCAGCAGCAGCAGCAGCAGTCGGACTTGGGTAAGGCGAAGGAGGATGCGGAGAAGGAGAGGTCGCCGCCGCTGCAGCCAGACTCGCCGGCAGCGGCTCAAGGCCAGGGGGACGGCGACGGTGGTGACCTCCGGGGGAGAGACGACGAGAGCACGGCTGAAGGTGCGTTGGCCCTCGATACATTCCATGTGTTGAATGAATCTGTACCAAACCCTCCATCCCCAGAAACTTCGATTTCTTTTTTTGGGGGAGCGAGGGAGCGGGGGAGTGGTTTCATGGATTCAAACTGCCTGTTTTATTGGTCTTTTATTCAATGGAGGCATTGGGGGGTAGGGGGGTCCTTTCGGGTGGAGAGGGGAGGCGTTCTTGGCAAGTAAACCACCACCCACGATTCGAGTTATGGCCGTGTTGGTTTTTTTGACACAATGACAGTTTCAACACTAGACCATTCCCGATAAACTCGCCTCTCGACAGCAGGCCGCTCCAGCGTTCCGCCGACCGGCGAGAAGCAGGACGGAAACACGAACGACCACGCCGACCAAGACACCTCCAGCACCAGCAGCAGCGGTGGCGACAAGACCAGCAGCAGCAGCAGCAGCAGCAGCAACCACGAGGGAGCGGCGGACATGCCGAAGGCCATCTCCAGCACACCGGAGGGGTACTGGGGGGACGACGTCGTCCTCAAGGTCACCGACATGGGGGATGTGGTGAGTTGCATGCACGCACTCACTCAACAGAATAGACAGAAGACAGAAGGCAGAAGACATCGAACAAGGTTGTTGGAAGGTGCAATGAGTGAGATGAGGGAGCCCATATGGCAGTCTAAGTCTACCGTCGGTGGCCAATAAAAAAAATGTTTGTTTAGCCTTGATCCTCTACTGTAGATACCAGCCGGAATCGTCTTGATTCATTTCGTGCGGCCTTTCTTGTCCTAGCTGAGGTTTCCACGAGCGCGGTTCTTGGGCGATGGCGGAAGTCTACGTAGTGCCCAAGCCAGCCGCTGTCCTGAAAGTGTGTGATTGATTCTGGTTATTGACCGATCCGAACTTATTTCCATCGCCAGTAACCACCCTACCCTCTTGCCGAGTCCGTGTATGTGTACCCAACCCGACCGTCTTTGCTCCGGTGCATCGTTACTTCCCCAGCTGGTGACCGTCGGGGACCGAGTCGTGGTCCAAAAGCGAAACCCGAACCGCAAGGTCGGGTGGGTGAAGAAGCTCGGCAATTCCAGGCCGGCGAAGAAGGTCAAGGGCATCTTTCGACGTCTCGGCCGCCGAGGGAAGCGCGACAAGAACGACAATGACAACGACAACAACACCAGAGAAAACAACGCCAGAGACGACGATAAGGGCGCCGTCCGGTCCACCTTATACTCGCTCCACGTGGTGGAAAACGGGTTTCAGGTCCGACTAGAAGGCGTGTTTGTGTGGGGGTGGTACGTGAAGTGAAGATAGCCCACCAACTTTCCTGTCGGACGCACCGTCCTTTTTTATTTTTTTAGTTTGCTTTTGATATCAGAGATAAACATCCGTGTACGTGTGACGTCATACCAGTGGAACAAGGAAACCGCGGGTTGCCGTTGGTGTTTCTTAACTGGGTTGTTGTTGTTCAGTTATCCTGTGATGACATGTACACAGCGAACGAGCAACGGTCATGAGTGCTGTTTGATAGACGCCTGTTTGCTTTTGGCTGTTAGCATAGATCTGCGACCCGTCTGCCCTACATGCACGTTTGGGCCCAGTGGAATCGTGGTGCTGGTAACGCTCTGATGATCGGCGTGGATTGTGCCTTGCTGTGAGTCTAGGAGGTGTTTTTCCTGGGTTGCTTTTCGAGCGTTGATTGGCGCTTGCGCGTCACTGCCTTGACCGCGGAATGGAAGCGATTTCGCGCCTGGGAGATCGCATTTTTTGTTGGTAGAGATGATCCCAGTATATGCTCGCAACATTATTGTGGTATTTAGCTTGACGCTTTTCAGCAACTAGATGGATAGTGCAGCCACTCGAGTTTGTGGTATTGAGTGCACCATACCAGGAATGCTTTGTTCCCTTTCCCTTTCCCCTTCCCCTCTTTTCTGGGATTTTTAAATTTTGTGCTCTCGATGAGTAGGTGTCATTCATCGTGGTGTGGTTCAGCGAACCAAAAGAGGGTAGGGTTGACAAAGCACGAATGACCTTTGCTCGCTCGTTGCGGACTCTCGTGCTGCTACCAGTTTCTTTGAGTAGGTGCAGGATTGCTTGACCGTCAGGCATACGTGGCCATGTAGGGATGACTATTGTAGCAAGGTTTAGGTAGACAGTAGGTTACGCGGTGGGTTTGCTTGCCAAGAATGTAGTCCGGTGATGTCATGGCACCTGTTCCATCACGATGTTCCAGCTCGTTTTGCTTTTCCTGCCAGACGCCAAACGGTGCGATTGCTCCTTGCTAATTGTGTCGTGTCATGCAGCGGTGTGGGACGGCTTTCCTTTTGGTAAGTATAACGAAACCCAATCCGGGGCACCATGCCCCGCAAGGGCAGCATCCCGGGATAATGCGGAGCAAGATTGGATCTAATCAGACACCCAGGTCGACAGAAACGGTGGATTTCACTTCCTGCAGTTGTGTCGCAGGACAACACGAGACGTGCCTGAAAATGAAGAACGACCACTTGTTATATTCATTCGTTTCTTGGACGGCGCCCTTTCAATAGGAATAGTCCACAGCTAGGAAACCGACGCCAGTGTGTGGTGAGTCGACGTCTCTGAATCACATTTCGTTCGTTTCGTAACCATGAATGAGTGATGATCGTGCAAGGAAGGCGTGAAATAACTTGCACCCATCCTGAAGTATTTTCCATGCCAAACTGTATTCAGCATTGTATTCGTTCCACAAGCGGAAGACGAAAGTGTGTACACCCCCATAATATACTCTGCTTCGTTAGCGAGTGAAAAACAGGGCCCGACATGCCTCCCTGTTTGCCGTTGTGTTGATTCATGATGAGCCCATTTTCCCAGTGCAGTAGACTGGTCTAGCCTGCTGAAACAGGCCAGGGCATGACGAATTCATTCCCTTTGGCGAGACATGTGAGACGGAAAATGTTGCGTGGCTCAGATGGCTCCCTGTAATATTGGTTCGGGAGTTGTTCGCCTCTTTCGTGGCAGCTGTGAACATTCACTCTTCACCTCTCCTCCTATCTACGTTGTTCGCAGGTGGGAAGGCTACACTGGTGTTGCAGAACCCAACTGGTGGTAGACGCAGGAGAACTTCAACGTTCTCCCTTTTGTGTCGCCTTTTCCATCGTTGGTTTGGAAAGACAGCGGAACACCGCGAGCTGTACTTGATTCATTCGGTACTTTCTTGGCCAGTGAACTGTCGAGAGGCTGCCTCGGAATCATTTTGAGGGCCACATGTGCATATACCCCCACACAACGACGCTGAACGGTTCACATATAATATGAAAAGAGAACAGCCTCCATTCGCGGTGGTGCTCACTCGACTCTTCAGCCGTTCGCCTGCCGGCGACGTGGGCAAACGCGGCATGGTATATTTGGAGTTGGTCATGTGATGGTGCGTTACCATGAAGAGTTTGACATTTTGCGTTTCAGATTGTGTGCTGTGACGTTATGCACAATTCATGAGTATATCCGAGTCATGTGGCCTTCCTTCGGTTCACTGTGCGTTTATGCGTGTTTTACTTGGGCCTGGGTCATATTCGAAAATGGTTGCATGGTGTGGATGCAAGGAACGTTCAATCAAGGACTACAGAACGTTATATCACGCCCAGCTTCATGGTGATTATGGTGAAGAGGAGGTGCACTATTGCACGGTACCTTTGAGGAATTGACCGTGAACACGATGTAGTCGATGTACCAAACGGAAACGACTTTGACTGCGCTCCTTGAGCCTGCTCTGAAATGGGCCGTAAGGGCCACACGAGCAGTAGTCTGAACAGAGGCCCCTACAATGCAGAGCTGTCCGCGTACCCCCCTCTTCTCGCTCTGTTATCCGCGAGACAGGAGGGGGCTGTTTGGTAGTACGTATAGCGATGAGGAAGGAAGACCCGTGGAACGAGCAGGAGCCACCCGGTTTGCGTTGGCCTGCTGTGAGTGCACCCTGCTTTAAGTCTTGGACACGTGAGGGGTAGGGAGAAACGAGGTAGGGGAATCAATCGTTCGAAAGAGTTTTAAAGTATTGGTCAACGCTGAAAATGCAGATATGAACGTGTGTCGTGTTGTCGCACGCCGCGTGTGCCTTGTGTCTATTGGTTGCAGGAAGTTCGGCATACACCCTTGTAGAAGCTTCGAACGAACGTCAACCCCCTCGTGCTACCGTCCCCTCCTGATTCATTCATTCTGCTCATGGCATGCCAACCCGCAGCCAGCGGAGACCCACCGAAGTCCTCGGGGGCTCGGGTGTCAGTTGCAGACTACGTTTCATAACTCCTGGCCGGTGATGTTGGGCAGCAGAGTCCATCGCTGGGCGTTTGTTAGGTGTGATGTGGCTACGTTGGCCGCCCCCGTCAGGCGTCCAGCAGACCCTCTGCACGCTGTTCTCATTTCTGTTGTATTTCAAGTCACAGCTGGACTCAAGTCTGACGCCGTTTCTACCTTGGTGTCTTCCGTCCGTTCAAACCACAAAGAACTGTAAGTACTCGACCATCAGGGTCGGAGTACACAGCTGTATTTCACCCGCTTGGCAGGTACAGTACCTTTAATGCTCAGCATCGTACCAAGGCATAGGCACTTGAGCACCATTTGTGATCCCCGGTAAACCCTCATAGCTACATGAAGCGGTCTACCATCACAGCAGTACCCCGCCCTCGGCCAGGACTTGAGGTTCTCAAGGACGGGCGTTAACTGCACTTCACAAGTCGAGAAATCTACATTGACTATATCTGCTACCGCGTGATGTCACCCCCGCAAGAACAAAAACTCTCCTAACGACGTCAATCTGATGGCAACCCTCAAAATCTGCTGCCTCTCTCCCTCTCCTTGGTGTCGATTCATCTTTAGCCATATCGACATATAGTCTAGTGCTGTAGGTTTTCTGGGGAAAATGTTTCGTCCCGGAGGTGAGTATATACTGGCGACGCCTGGAATATAAAAGAAAAACGGCGTGTCTAAATCCCCCCCCGGGGGGGTAATCTACGAAATCCCCCCCCGGGGGGGGGGATTAGTGTCTAAATCCTCCCCCGGCTGTATCTCAGCCCAAAAGACACCAATCGAGGCAGGACATGCACGACTGTCTTGCTGTGTTGTGGGGCTATCGCGAGATCCATCGTATTGCCAAAACGGTTCAGGTTTGCTGCAGCCATGGCTGATGGGCAAAATGTATCTGTTGCCCCAACCTGCCCCCCGGGGGGAGATTAGTCCCCTCGGCTGCATCTCTGCCCAGAAGGCACCCATGGAGGCAGGAAATGCTCGACTGTGTTGCTGTGTTGTGGGGCTATCGCGAGATTCATCGTACAGCCGAAACGTTTCAGGTTTGATGCAGCCGTGGCTGATGGGCAAAATATATCTGTTGTCCCAACCTGCGCCACTGGTGGGGTACATGGCCTTGAATTCCCCACCAGCTGCATGTTGCTCTACAAGGCTCCAATCGACTGACAAAGACTGGTAGAAGCGTGTGGAACGTGCACGCACAGCACAGAGCAGCGGGCAGCAGGTGAGGCGACCAGCACACCAAGCCCACAGCTTTACACGCACCCATTGTGAACCGGACACTGCCTTATCATTGATGGGGTACAATAGCCTTGCTTACCCTACCAGCGGCATGTCGTCATACAAGACTTCAGTCGACACAGGACATGCTCAACTTTGTTGCTGCGCTGTAAGGCTACCGTATGACCTATCGTTAAGCCCAAAGGTTTCCGTTCAAGCGGTACCACGGCCGGTGGGGTAAAGTACGGATGTGCCTGGGGGGCGCGGGCAGTCACCCATGGACCTCGCACCTCTGTACAAGGCTCCGGTGGCCACACAAGAACCGTAGTAGAAGTTGTATAGATGATGCGCACCCAACACACAGCACACAGCACCACTGCAGCACTGCAGCACTGCAGCACTGCCTTGATCGCTATGTGTACACGTTGTAGACTGCCCAAATGCAACCTTCATAACATCAGGGATAAACGACCCATCCATTCGTTTGGTCTCGCTCGCGGACAAAAACAACGAAAACAATCGCAAACAATCGTAAACAACACCGAAAGGGAACGTAAACATTTTGAGAGATAGGTGATTAACGTATGTTCGCCGCCACGAGCATGTTGCCTCTCGGTCATCCTTGCCACGTGTATGTCAGACTAAGGTACACGCCGTTTTTAATACCGGCAGTCTCCATACGATCTGTCTGAACACAGACGCTCGAACACATCCCCACACAACAGTCGACAGGGACGAAAAAAGAAACAAAGAAATTAACCGGTTGGTTGTACGATGGATCTCGCGATAGCCCCACAACACAGCAACACAGTCGCGCATGTCCTGCCTCCATGGGTGCCTTGTGGGTAGAGATACAGCCGGGGGGGTGTTTAGACACCAATCCCCCCCCAAGGGGCAGGTTGGGGCAACAGATATATTTTGCCCATCAGCCATGGCTGCACCAAACCTGAACTGTTTCGGCTGTACGATTGATCTTGCAATACCCCCACAACACAGCAACACAGTGGTGCATGTCCTGCCGCCATGGGTGCTTTGTGGGCAGAGATACAGCCGGGGGGGGTGTTTAGACACTAATCCCCCCCGGGGGGCAAGTTGGGGCAACAGAAATATTTTGCCCATCAGCCATGGCTGCAGCAAACCTGAACCGTTTCGGCTGTACGATGGATCTCGCGATAGCCCTCCAACACAGCAACACAGTCGTGCATGTCCTGCCTCGATTGGTGCCTTGTGGGCGGACATACAGCCGGGGGGGTGTTTAGACACTAATCCCCCCCCGGGGGGGGATTTAGACACAACGTAAAAACAATTTATCATCGTGTCCTATTTGTAGGCATATCAACCCAATCAAGCACGCCATCGTCTAAAAAGGAGGCCAGCGGCAGCCAAGTGCAGCAGCACCAGCGGTCACTAGAGTAAACAACATGCAGAGAAAGGTGGTGCCGCCTTGAGACCCGCGCCTGTGATGATGATGTGTACAGTGAAAGATCCCGCCTATTACTCTGTGCTGCATGTACACATGTACACATGTACACATGTACACATGCATTCTCAGCGGCAAAAATAGAGCACCGTCTCTGAACTGTGGTCGCACCCAGTCGTTCTCCATCACACCACCAGACACAAGAACAGAACAGCAGCAGTTGCTTAGAGTGGAGTGTAGTAGTGCCACTGCGTCAGTGTTTGCCAACCATATTGTTGTTGTGCGTTGGTTAGTTTGCGTCTGACCATCATGATCAAGTCGCTTCTACCTCTCCAGGGGATGCGGGGTTTCTGTCCCCTTTTTTCCACCAGCAGGCGTGCAGCTTTTTCGACAGTCCAGTCCCCATGATAACCGGCGACGGCGGTCCGTCGCCTGGTGGTTTCACAGGCATGGCAAGGAACTGGAATGACGCTCCAAACCTCTGCATGGATGCAGGTTCGGTGAGAGTGCGACTAAGAAAGGGCGGGCGAAGTTGGTGAGTTGCGTGGAATACAGCTGGAAGAAGCGAGGCAAGGGAGAGAGGCGGCCGAGGAGGTGTGTGCTGCATAGGAATCTCTGGCGCAGGTGAAACTACAGCACAAAGTAGTTGTTTGGTAGGCGGCGCCTGTGTTGTTGCATGACTTCTCCTCCGTACAACAGGCTGTGATTGCGGGGTCGGGAGAGAGGGCATCCGTACTGGTCGCCTCCATGGTCGCAGGCAAGGGCACACCAACACTACAACGCGGAGGTAGAGAAACACACCGCGATTTCTACGCGATAACGGCTGAAAGTTTTTTTTTTCTCTCTTTGAAAGTATCCACTCCCAACACGTGAATATTTCAACGTTTCCATCAGCTGGAATCCTGATTCTCCCTGGAACATGGATTTTCCTTGATTGTCTGCCTTCGCGCATCGGTTGGGCCTGGGTTTTCGTTCCTGTTCCAGTGTGTTGACCATGTTATGATGTGGTGCGGTGTGGTGTAGCGCTGACGTTGCAACCGTTCGTTCTTGGCGCTGGTATGATTGGGCACTACAGTACTTGCCTGTGCCAACCCCATCGGCGAAGGAGGTTCGTTTATGCTACTCTGACGAAGAGAACTAAAATATGGCACCGACCAGCTTTTGGTACCCAGAAACGACTTATTTTGCATAGAATGGGCCATGTGGATAAGCTACTTGTGGACTGTGGGTTACTGTATGTGCATGTGTAGTCTGCGTTGCGACCGCTCCTGCTGCCCCTGTTCAAAAACAACTGTTGCACCTGATGATCCCATCAGTTCTAGGGTCTGGTAATACAAGTGCACGACTCTTTTTCGTTCCCGGCCAGGGCTTTGTGTGAGTTTCAACCAAGATTGGAGTATATTCGCGAGCGAGGAGACGGGCAGGGGAACAAGCGTACAATAGAAAGAACCAATTCGAAGACACGACTCTGAGGAGAGCAGGGCGGAGATGGCAGAGCGTGTAGCGAGATATGTGCTGGATTGCAGTCGATGGGGGCAGAGCACCGGCCAAATGTCGCCATTCGATGCTTTCATCGCTAATGCCCCTTCCTCTCGTTGTCCCCTTCCCGACCATTGCCGCCAAAAATGTAGACTATGTGGCGTAAGTTGTTTTGGCTTTCACTTCAAGGGTGGAGTGCACACGCGACGAGGAAGACTTGCATTGTCGATATTTCGACGTTGTACTGCCTTGGCTGGTCGAGTCCCAGAAGAGTGACAGAGTTGAAGTCTCAATTTTAGAAGTGCTCGCGTTGTGAGAGGGGATAGCGTCAATGCCTGGTCCTCACAATATTGGGCACGAAAAGAGGCGAGTTTCGTGACCTGTTCCTGATCTTTTTGGGAGTTCACGTGGGACATCGCATGGGATGAATGGGACGTCCCACCCGTCCTATCAGATGGCCATGTGGGATGACCTTCTGGGACGCATGAATAGGATGCTTGGGCTCACAGCTTTTTTTCACCCACAGCGACACATGACGTTTCATTGGCGTTCCATACGTGTCCCATGGCCGTTCCACGGGACGCAATATCGTTCGAGGGAGGGTTGGGCCGCCCGTGGGACGCCCCATAGGACGCTTGGGACGTCCCACGTGCCAGTTCCAGGGGACATCCCAAGGTTTACTCTCTCTCGCTCTCAAGGGTCTACAAGCATGTGCAGTTTTCAACGCTTGGTCAGACGCTTGGTCAGACAGTGTTCTCCCGTCTCATTTGGTGTGGTCGTTCGTTGTTCTGGCGCCAGTCTACAGTAGGAATACAAGGTTAACCACACTACAGCTAGACCGCAGGAGCAACTCAGTACCCTTAATATTCGACGCTGGCCTCCTTGCAAGACATTTTTGGGACTGCCCCAAAACGAGGTCTGAACGAAAAAATGTTCTGACGAAAACAAGGCGAATACAGTCTACGTAGTGAGTTCACAAAAGCAGTGGCCGCGGACAACAACAGAAACACTATTCCAGGGTGTGGATCTATGGCTGACCAGTAATTCCGCCATGTTCTTCGCACAGAGTACGGGAAAATCTCTACGGCGAGGTAACTCCGGAGTTCTACCTACAACACCCAGCTAAGAATCGACTCCGTGCCCCTTCGAAAACCAAGAAGCGATCTCCGGTGATATCCATCTCAATCGGAGAAAGTGCAGATATCTCAGGGTTACCCAATGATTGGTTCCACGATATACGCGCGTGCATATGCCAGCCTAGCGGGGGCGCACCATTAGCTCGCCGACGTCTGTCTTGAAGATGGCCGCACTCTCGTCCCCGGCTTTGAGACGCTCAAGCGAGTCGTGGATTGACATGGCCATGTCCATGCCCCCGCACAGCTCGGCTCCCGCTGGAACGGCTCCCTATAACGGCACGAGGATAACAAGCAAATGTCGACCGATGGGCTTGGCTCATCGCCCGTCCAGCGCAAAACCTTCGACATGCATCCGATTGCTACATTGCTTGGAGCGAGTACCATCTTCACACCATGCACTACACGATGAGGGCACGGCAAGGAATGTTCTTGAGACTAACGCCTGCGTTATCGAGTCGCATCACACGAGATAGAACCAGTAATTAGAACTTACCATAAAGCACGTAGGATTGGGAAGACGTTGCAACAGTGAGCGCCTCCAACAGGGTGTATCTTAATCGCTTACTCAATGGTCGAAATAATTAGTACTTGAACTTACAGCAAAGTTCACGCCGCCCCAGACGCGACTGTCGCCACAGACTTGAGAGATTTCGGACCAGGAAGAGAATACCAGAGGCGGTTCATCGAAGCCTGGGGGCGGAGGACCCGGCGGGAACTGAAGAGGGGGCTCGATCTTGTCGTCGCCAAGGAAGTTTTCGACTTGCCGAGCAAACAACTGGAAGTTCGCGAGGGGCAGAGACGACCCGACCGAGAGAGGGGGGGGGGTGGAGTGAGGAGGACATTATTAATGTTTCTATGCCGATTTTGCGCAGACTCTACGTGTATGCGTATCGATATACGGCGTACATCAGACCCCCGAAGCATAATTAGAGTCTACTCTAGTTTCGTACCAAAAATTGTGTTGCAGTAGGGATAGCGTGTCTAGGTTCGTGATCACAAGGAACGATACTTGCCTATCCCGCAAGTACCACTGACAGCGGGGGACAAACGGATGCTTCGAAACGAAAACAAGAGAACCGAGATATCTCAAGTAGACCTCATACCTCACAAAGGCACGCAGAGGCCGAGGGGTATTCGGAGGTAGGATTGGTCCTCATGAAAGACTCCCATTCTGACGCCTTCATAGTTTGGACTCCCTCACCAGGTCCGGCGTAAGCCTCCACCAACTCGTCACCGAGCTTGTGCCTGTTTTTGGTGGGGTTCCGTGTTTTGTTGCACTCGTTACAGCAGTTCAACCTTTCAAGAACCGCGTTGTGAATGATTGATTGGAACTTGCAGGGGGCATGTTAAGCTCTGTGGTTGCATGTTCGGGATGCAGTTGGTCTACGGTAGTCCTCGTGTACCACGAACTACACTGTATGACCTAGGCATATGGTGGGCAGGGCAGACACTTCATGCCTCTACAGACGACTCGCACTCCAACAAGAATTAGGATCTCCGTACAGCATCCCGCGTGAGGATGCGTCTCTACTGAATGCATTTGTCGGTCTACTGCTGTACGTCGCCACTCTTAGTCGGGTCAATTTTGACAAGAACAAGTGTGACGGAGAGCCTAAAGACGATGTACGAGGCACGGACAACACTATACGTCCCTGGTGTCTTGGCAGCTTGACTGTGGTACTTTGTCCCACTACCGGTAAAGCGCCGTCCCGCCAATCAACACCACCTTGTTGATACTGATGTCCGAACCCTCTCTACCATGGCGTCCCATACACACGGTCGTTGTACGCATCACGTATGTAACTAATATAGCATACATTCGCCACTGCAATCGAGGTTCTGAAGATGGTCTCACTTGATCATGGTGGATGGCCGGGGTCGATCGTGATGGATCTAACACAGGCAAGATGGGCGGAGCACGTTGGCGCGCGGGAAAGCCGTCACGGGAGAAGGAAAGGTAAGCACGGCTGGTACAGGTTAGGTGCTTGTTCGCGTTGTTTAAATCGTGAAAGTGCCGCAGGTCTAAGATCGTTTCGTACTCTCATTGTTGTTGGTATTATCTCTAGCGAACTATGTAAATCAATCACCATTCGGTCTCAAGACTCTCACGGCGCACGTCATCCGGAAATGTTGGAAAACCCTGCTCGTCCCGGAAATACGTGGAAGACCTCGCCAGTCGGTTCGGGTCACCGTACTAGCCTTCCACATTTTCTTTGCAGCAAGCGGCACCAGCAAACCACGCGCCTCTATAACACGATACCTGATGTATGGATGTACGAGCATCCTGCTGTCTTAAACACTGGAGTGTCAATAACCAAAGGAAATGACAATTTGGGCCATGTTTCAAGAAAGTCCGACCCACCTTCTCCTTCCACGTCAGCAAGACGCCATTGTAAAGGGCAAGCTGAATCTCCAGAGATAGCTGGAGGAATTCCGTTGTTGTGTACTCTGCCTGGGTCGTGTTCCTGTTTCGCGGAGGGAGGGGCGGAGGCTTGAGCGAACATGCAGTGCCAAACTCTCAAACACACATGGGCCATTGCCAGGGTTACATTCCACCAGGTTTCGCCTACCAGCCTTCCCAAGGTTCAGCCTGCCAACAGGTTGGCGCATCCCAACAGAGTGGTCGAAAACGCTCAACTGTTATTGGAGCATCTTGAGGCGGGATTTCTTATCTACTCGTACAAGTGAATGGAATATCCGGTGTCGGCACAGGTGCCCATTTTGTCGAGAACGCGTGGTCGAAGGAGTTACACGACCTTGAAAGAGCGCCACAACGTAGTGACTCTTCCGTCGTACGAAACTCATATTCCATTGCTGACTTTGAAGTTGGATTTCTCTCTCGACGATGGGTATGATAAATCCAGGGCAAACAAGTTTTCATTCGAAAGGATGTGCCGCACAACCAAAGCTCACCGTAGAAAGTAGTCGACGCTGAGAGGAATGAGGGAGTTGACCTTGTCATCGAAGAACGAAATGGCGACCTGCTTATAGAGCGAGTCCGCGGTCATGGCGGACTCGTCAAGCACGTCGTGGACGACGTCTTTGTACCTGTTGGCACCACATGTAGATGTGTTGGGGGGGGGGGGGGGGGCCAAAAAACTGCCCCCATCCAGGGGGGCCGGGGTTTTCCCCCCAGAAAACGAAAGGGGGGGCCCGGGGCCGGAAAAAATTTTATTTTGGGGCGGGGGGGGCCCGAAAAAACCCCCCGATTTCCCAAAAACAAAAAGTCGCGGGGAAACAAAAAAATCCACGAGGGGAAAACCCCCAAAAAACAAAAAAGCCCCCCAAAACTTTTTATTTTGGAACAACTGCCCCTGAAAGAACGGGACCCCCAAGACCCCCAGCCGGGGGGCCGGGCACCCGTTGAAAAAAACCGGGCTGGCGAACGGGGGCCAGCTAAATTTTTCCCCCCCTTCCTTTCAAAAAAAACCCAAAAAACGGCCCAGGCCCCCCAAGGGGGGGGGCCCCGGCCCCTTAGGTGGGAAGGAACCCAAAACCTTAAAACTTTTCAAAGGGTGCCCCTTTTTGGGGGCCCGGAAACGTTTTCTCCCCCAAGGGTCCCCAAAAAATGGGT